GAATAAGATGGTGTTCTTGTTATGTTGAGATATTTTTAAAAAAATGCTTTTGTATTCAGATATTTTTTGGTTTTCCTACATGATAAAAAATGGTTTAAAATAATTAGAGAAAATTTGTCAGATGCTCACCTTTTTAAAACGAAGAACATGTGTGACGTCAAACTAAAGTTATCCAGTCCTTGATTGTGTCCATTAAATTTTGCAACATGAGCATTTTCCACTCATCCAGCTTTCACAGAACCTAAATTGTCATTGCAGTCATTAATATTTTATGATGAAATGTGTCAAATTGCATACAGTAATAAAGAATGTTCCTTTTTAGGGTATATTAAGTACTACAGTTGTGACTGACACTGATTTTAGTGGACGGGTATGAGAAAATAATTTTTTTAGCATGCAAAATGCAATAGGAAACAACAGCTTTGTGCAAAAAAGTCACWGTCATAATGTCATGTTTCTATCATTTTTATTCATAGTTTGATTATACTACTGATTTTAATTATTTAAAAAAGGTTACATAAACATACATTTTTTACCTTTTTTTTAAGCCAAGATAAGGTGTGCTCATCATGTATTTCACTTGAGCAGAACAATAATTCAAGGAACAAAAACAGTGAATTATTCTGAATTGTTTAGGAGAAAAACAGATTGTACTTATTACAAAAAATATCATTTACTCTTCCAGCTTTAATGTGTCACTTAAGTTTTAAAAAGAGATCTTGGCAGATTGTTTTTAGGAATGTGACATAATTTCTAAACTCRCATGTAGTGCTTTGTTCTGCCTGTAGCTGATGTTCCGAACACAAAAACAGCACTGTGGGGTTGTTTTGGTGTAAAGTAAAAAAAAAAAGGAAAGTGAACGTAACAGCCAGGGTGATGATGAAAGGTTTAAGATAATAGTATAAAATATTGAAATGTGTTAATTAAATTGTATTTTTTGTATTTTTAATTTCAGTATTTTTATGAAATCAGGTTTATCAAGGAAATAGTTGAAAACTGGAGAGGAGGACTGATAAACTAAATATAAACTCAAATTTGCTAGATGTTAACCGATGTGTACTTTCATTTGTGGAATCAAAAACACCAAGACAGCTTCAAATTGAACAGTAATTTGGTTTTGATTGCTCTTTTTGGTTTGCATTGAGAAAACATGACCAGAAAGTGCAGAAATAAAAGCTTCGATCAAAACCTATTAAAAGGTTTGACACACTCACTGTGTGGTTTTGAGTCACATGTTTAAAAGAAATTTGTATGTGCATAAGCAGGGATGGAAGCTATTTTAGGGAATCTTGTTTGATCCGGGATACCATGACTCAGCATTTTTATATCTGATCCCACCCACAATACCATGCCTCATCCAAGATATAATCATTTCCCAGATTAAAGTATTTACTAAAATTAAATAGTCTGTCTCTTGTGGATATTCAGTTATTGCTTCTTTATTAACATTTATTAGAACAACAACCCAACATGAAACATTTTTCATAACCCCAGATTTACACTACATGCGTCTCCGCTGCGCTGCGCAGTTCGCAGCTGTTCGTTTGTGTCCCAATTTATACAGCCTCAGCTCCGCTCCAGTCCGACAGACAGAGGAGGGAGCGTGTGCAGGAAGGAGATCACGTGATAAATCCAGTGATAAATGTGGAAGTCAGAGCAAAAAATAATAAAGTATGGSAAAGACAAACTCCAAACACAGCTGAAAACATTAATATAAAAGCTTTTTATATCTATGGTTGAAACTGTATTGCTGTCGTCTTTTTGAAACTTCTGATTTCAAAATAAAATCTACCTGTATCTTGTGTGTACACATATGCTTCATCTACATGTTGCCATCTGCTTCCCAAACAGAACGATACATTCTGACACCATTTGTGTAGAAATATATTCATATATTTATTAATATAGCTGCAATTTCGACAAAATTATGGTGTCTTATTCTGAGATACAGATGTTGTGCTCATTCCTCTTCCTGTTGGTGCGACGTAATTTTTAAAAACTGACTCCAGCGCAGCTCCGGTGTCCGGCAGAAATAGGATTGGATCTAATTTTGCCGGATCGCCATCCGCTCACCGCCGCCGTGCGCAGCCACTGCTTTCATTCATTTTAATGGGTGCGTATTTGCTGCGGCGGTTGGACCAGAGCAGAGCGGAGCCTGAACACATGTAGTGTAAATTAGGGGTCAGAATCAGCCTCAATCGGTTAAAGAGTTTCAAGAAAATTTTGTGAATCCCTAAAATATTTTCATTCTAGTCTCCAATTCCACTCCAAGTTGGTGGATATTTCATCTTTAATTTAAAATAAGACCTCATCCAGTAAAATCAATATTTCATGGATGTGATGCCTCTTGTTTACTGATGTTGATTTTCTCGTCTTTTCTGTTCCCATAGGGTGGCGACGGATCACAACATTGATAACACCACATCCATCCTAAGAGACTGGCTCATCCAGGTGCAGAACTACTATCATTATGTGGAGTGGCGACCTGAAGAAGAACCCAGGTACTGTAGGTGTTATGTTCAAGGTTTGTATGTGTGAAATGAGTTGGTTACTTAATAAGTTGGTCTCAACCTCTCAGGGCTTTTGTGGACGAGGTGGGGCCAAAGCACTGGAATAATCTCCGTTATGAACACGTGATGAAGCTCCGACAGGCAGCGCTGGACACTGCCCGTGAGATCTGGGCCGACTACCTCCTGGTATGTTAACAATGTGGTGCTCAACACCCACGATGTGTGCTATTCTTACCTACTATTCACCTGTGAACTGAAAGGACATTCAATTCTTGTCCTACTTTCTAATTTTTAATGCCAGGGTTCAAACAGGTGCTTAGAAAAAAAGGTACTTTAATTGTCATTAGTTGTCCGTTATAATCATCAAAATTAAAAGAAATAAACATTTGAAATATATCAGTCTGTTTGAAATGAATGAATATAATGTAAAGGTTTCACTTTTTGAATGAAATTACTGAAATAAACTTTGTCATGATATTATAATTTTACGAACAACACTTGTAATGGGTGAGGAGCCCTATCTGTGAAAAAACTTGCTCTTGGTGGCTTTCAAGATGGTGGCCATGTTCTGGACATACAGTAGGTGGCCTCCCTCACCCTTTACATGCTGAGATATTTGGGTATTTTCTTTTCCTTTTTGTAAAACAGCAGAATATTGTGTGACTTTTGACTCACTTGTATTGTGGAAGAATACAATATCTTTGTGTTTGTGTTAAATGCATGCAATGATTTATAAATGTCCTTAAATTAAGATTTGGAAAAAGAGGAATATGGGGAAAATAATCAGTGTGGTGTTTTTCATTTTTTAAGTTAAATAAGTAAATCCTGGGAACTAAATGACCTAAAGGAGTCAAAATACTGAGAATAGTGATATAAGGTTCTAGGACAGTAGCTGTCTACTCAGCATGTTMGATCTATCTAAGCTGCTTCCTTCAGTGTTTCCATATCTTTGTGTTTGGCCAAGTTGTAGATCAGGGCTATTCCACAAAATTGCTCTGAGGGCCACAGTTACTGCAGGTCAACAGCTGAGGGGCCGAACATCCAGCAATTAAAGTCATTATGTAATTAAACTAAGTATTACAAAGATCTATTACCTTTGAAATAGTTTATTTTGCTGCATTTTATCATGAATTCAACATACAGAACCCTATGTAATAAAAGTAGTGATAATAAAACAACAAAATCAAAAATAACACATTATGCCTCTTATATACCACAAATAATATTTTGACATCTCTGACTTGCCGAATTTTTAAACCAATTTTATTTTCACTTTCATAGTTTTATCTTGAACTGCTTGTAGTTTTAACTCTTGGATGTTCATAGAAATGGTTTTTACCAGCTTGTAGCCAAGATTTTGATGTTTCTTTAGACACCAAACATGTCTATGTCTAACTAAAAGAACCCTAGAGTAATTAAAATAGAAAACCAGGGGTTTGGACTTAAGAGATGAATGAACCAATTGGCGGGCCAAACTTTGGTCACTCACTCAWGTGGCCCGCAGGCTGCCAGTTGAATAGCTCTGTGTTGTAGAGCATGAGAGGCTTTGATGATCATGTTATAACATGCCTCTAAAGTTTAAAACATAGCGCTCGAGCKTAGATTTGCAACCACCGAGTGCAGACACAAATCCTTCATAATAAAAGTGGCAGTGAATTTAGCTATTTTTTAAGCCTTTTCAGAGGTAGGTGAGGATTATAATGTTCCTTTCTAGCTTCCTAACATTGTCTTCACAATATTGCTTCATGTCTCTTTGGCATCCAAAAAACATTTCCTCTTTGAAGGCATTTTTTTAATCCAAAAAGGACTGGACTGAGAAGTAGTTAGCAGGGGTAGACACAAGGATTTTTTTCAGGTTTTTCAGCGGATAACCTGTTGACAAAATCTGGTTGTCCACATAACAGTTTGGTTGTCCAAAAAAAACATCTCAATAAAAATGTAATTTAAAGTTTAAAGTTTTTAAACAGCTCTACTATCATTTTAGTGTTTTCAACTGAGGAGCTGTGAAACATGTATTTAAAACAATTATAGCACAAGAAGTTCTCTGCACAGAAAAAGCAATTTATTTTTACTGTTTTTTTTAACCAAGCTGACAAGTTTCTCCACTAAAATGATTTTGTAATTTAAATTGAAGCACCTGGTTAAATTTAGAAGATTAAAGATATTTAAGATTAACTACAAGCAGGTGAAGCTGACTCAGAGAACTCTGTGATTTTAGAGGAAGATCAAAGTCAAACGTAAACTCCAAACTGCTGTTTCTGTCCAAGCTGTTGGAAAAGGTAGTGAACACTCAGTTAAAACCTTTCTTGGAGGATCACGAAATTTATGAGACATTTCAGTCAGGTTTCAGAGCCCATCACAACACTGAGTCTGCTCTGATGAAGGTGTTTAATGACATCTTTTTAGCTCTAGACTCTGGTGAATCTGTCCTCCTTGTGCTGTTAGACCTCACATCAGCCTTCGACACCATTGATCATAACATCCTCATTTTCAGGCTGGAGAAGGAGGTGGGTATCACAGGTTCAGCCCTCAATTGGTTCAGGTCCTACCTGACAGACAGACACTTCTGTGTTATCAAGGACTTCGTGTCCTCATCAGCACCACTTCAATGGGGAGTACCACAGGGCTCTATCCTGGGACCCCTTCTTTTTTTCCTTATACCTACTGCCACTAGGTGCAATTTTTAGTAAACATGCCATACCATTTCATCTTTATGTGGACGAC